TAAACATAAAATATTTATATTTATATTCATTTATTAATAATAAAATATTGATTATAATGATTAGAATTGTAAAATTGAAAACTATGTTTAGACGAAAGAGAAGTATGAATTGGATTTAATAATAAATAAATTAATAAGTAATGTTTTGTTTATACTGAGCAGGGTATCCAAATGAGGTGACAACACATGAAACGAATGCCATTCTCGACAAAAGTGAAGCGAAAATCAATTCAGTGAAGGAATACAACGATGAGAGCAAAGATGTGTTGAGTGCTATGATTGCAAAGAATATATCAAACGAATTGAATGCCGATAAAGAGTTGCTGTTAACAAGACCTCCCAAACTGGAGATGTCCAACAGTTTGAACAGTTTGCCACTTCTGGTCAAGAGTTTGGACGGAAACAAGGACTACATTAGAGAGATCGATGACTTGGAAAGTATAGAAAGCGATTCCAAACTGACACTAAATGACAATAAAAGTGACACCGAAGAAGTCTTACAAGAGTTGAATAAATTGGACCTCGATTTGGACGACAGGGAAAGCAAATACCCGATGAGGTATTCAAGCCGTAAAAGAGGTCAGTCGTGGAGTAACTGGGATAACAATATGCACGTTGAGCTCAACGCGGAGGTACTGTACAATAAATTGTGTCAAAAAGTATTGATTTTAAATAAATTTTGATATGTATACAAATTGGGGCCAATTCTGTGTGAATAGTCAAGTCTAAGCAGTTTTTCTCGTCCGGCCTCTACTAATGAGATCCCAGGCCTTAAATCAAAGTCTTATACGGCGCCCGAGACCAGAGGCCAAATGGATTACATAGAGTTCCTCGCAAAAGAGGTATTTGCCTATGAGTTACAATTTGCTCAACAAATTGCTATTTCAACCTTGTTTAAAACTATTCAAAAATATATACAAACGTAGATCTATATTTTATTTTTGTATTTCTTGTTGTCATAGAGAATAGAGAATATAGAATATGAATACAAGTTAGAGAGAGAGAGAGAGAGAGTCATTATTTTTATTGATTTGCATTTATATTTTTATTTTAGTGAATCTTCACAGAATTTCAATTATTTTTAATTATCTTATGTAAAAGATTAATTAGCATCGAGTACG